AGGTTGTAGACCTGTTTGTATCACTGTTCTACCACAGGTTGTAGACCTATTTGTATCACTGTTCTACCACAGGTTGTAGACCTGTTTGTATCACTGTTCTACCACAGGTTGTAGACCTGTTTGTATCACTGTTCTACCACAGGTTGTAGACCTGTTTGTATCACTGTTCTACCACAGGTTGTAGACCTCTTTGTATCACTGTTCTACCACAGGTTGTAGACCTGTTTGTATCACTGTTCTACCACAGGTTGTAGACCTGTTTGTATCACTGTTCTACCACAGGTTGTAGACCTATTTGTATCACTGTTCTACCACAGGTTGTAGACCTCTTTGTATCACTGTTCTACTACAGTTTATATACCTGTACTTGTATCACTGCCCTACCACAGGTTATACACCTGTTTGTATCACTGCCATGCCACAGGTTATATACCTGTATTTGTATCACTGCCCTACCACAGGTTATACACCTGTTTGTATCACTGCCATGCCACAGGTTATATACCTGTATTTGTATCACTGCCCTACCACAGGTTATACACCTGTTTGTATCACTGCCATACCACAGGTTATACCCCCTGTTTGTATCACTGCCCTACCACAGGTTATACACCTGTTTGTATCACTTCCCTACCACAGGTTATACACCTGTTTGTATCACTGTTCTACCACAGGTTATATACCTGTATTTGTATCACTGCTGAAACCAGTATCTCAAGCAGAACTGAAACCAGTACCTAAAATAAGACCAACTCCAGTACTGTTCATATTAAAGTCCTTTACATAATAACCTGATGTGGTTGGTTTCATTAATCTTGGTGTGCTGTGATGACTGGAGACCTCTTTGTTCCAGTACTGCTCATGTTAAAGTCCTTTACATAATAACCTGATGTGGTTGGTTTCATTAATCTTGGTGTGCTGTGATGACTGGAGACCTCTTTGTTGTGTTTTTCAAAAGGTATTATCCTTTACATAATAACCTGATGTGGTTGGTTTCGTTAATCTTGGTGTGATGTGATGACTGGAGACCTCTTTGTGGTATTTTAAAATGTGCTTGTGCAAAATTGTATATTGTGATAACAGAGATGGTTAATCTCTTTATAAAAAATATTTTATACGTTAATACACGTCCCAGTAGCTCAGTGGTAAGTATTAAAGACTTGATACCCCTGGTGGGCACAGCACATATATCTTATTTGTTACTTTGTTCTTAAGGCCCGGCATGGCCAGGTGGTTAGAGTGCTTGACATAACTGGTAGACTTAATTGGTAGACTTAGGTATTGTCACAGTAACATTGCAGAGACAAAGAATGGTGGGAAAACAGTGATTAGAAGAAACCTAGAGATAAAATATTTCTTTAATAATGTTTAGAAGAAATGTATAGGAGAAATGTTAGTAGTCTGTAGGATCACCGAAATCTCATTATTAACTAGTTACTAATTCTAGAAACAAAAACACCAATATAAGTTAGGATTCGTGAGCATCATAGACACGGAAGACGGCAGTGCTACGTACATACAACAGCTGGTATTCATGTCAGGTTTGGTTTGTTATGAATTTCGCGCAAAGCTACACGAAGGCTATCTGTGCTAGCCGTCTCTAATTTAGCAGTGTAAGACTAGAGGGAATGCAGCTAGTCATCTCTTGGGTTACTCTTTTACCAACGAATAGTGGGATTGACCATCACATTATAACGCCCCCCACGGCTGAAAAGGCGAGCATGTTTGATGGGACCGAGATTCGAACCCGCGACCCACAGATTGCGAGTCAAGTGCACTAACCACCTGGCCATGTCGGACCTATTCATGTCGGAGAGAGTCCTCTGGTGGGACAACGGTAAGTCTTCGGATTTACAATGCTAAAATCGGGGGTTCTATTCCCCTCGGTGGACACAGCAGATAGCGCGATGTGGCTTTGCTATAGGAAAACACACACACATGTCAGAGAGAGGGAAAAACATACAGAATTGTAAGAATACTAAAACAAGAGGGAATCCTTAATAGCCACGGCACTTGAAATTCTTTTAGGCAGGATTAGGGTAAATTAATCTAGATATTTTTTTCCTTTTTATTGGCTATATTTTTGTGCACCAGTCATACCAAGCATGGGGCGCACGTATACCCGATTTGATTTTATTACTCATCAGGATCTCTACCAGCCTACCCTCAAATTGTAATTCTTTTATACAGGTTTAGAGTAAATTAATCTATGAGACTTCGGGCATTGTAAATATATATCAATTGAAAGGGTTTGATCTCCTGAGTCCGAAACTGTAATTAGATTTCAAATCGGTCAAGATATGACGGAGCTGTGAGCTAAAAGTTTGTCATTGAAAAAATTCTCGGAACCATTCCTATGCTATGTCTCGGCTATTAATGGGTTATGAACCACATACGAAAAAAAATAATAAAAAAATAGCAGAAGCCTTCTGCATCCACCTAACCGATAACCAACTAAAGTAGCGTAGAAGTTAACTAAACTTTGGTACCTCTCATGAATCATTCAAATAAGTTAGTTTATAAAAGTTCTGATGGAGAAGAAAGACTCCAGACGATAGAATAGCGCAGCGGCCTATGCCTAATTAGCTGTAGACTAGCATGACAATGATTGATTACCACAACTTGAAACTAAGTACTTGGGTGAAAGATGACATTTTATTCTGTTAAGACTAACAAGAGAACGTCTATAATGTTTGTAGTTGTAAACCGATCTTTACATTATCAAAATCTGGTTTGTTATAAATGAAAATAAATAATATTGATGTTGTTTTATGTGCGCTCGGAAGAGAGAAAGGCTTGCTAGTGCTACCATCTACTGGACAACTTAAAAAATCCATTAAAATATCAGCGTTAGGGCTAGCAAATACTTAAATATGTACATCTTCCGCATAGCTGTGGACAGCAATGAAAATGTTACAGCGCATTGTTGAAAACAAAATGTTAGGATCAACAGTTAATTAAATGATTAAGATATTTGGTCACCAGAGTTTGTTTTATCGCCATATTTTCTTCAAAATTCCGAAACGTTTAATAAATGCTTCATATTATTACATTCGTGTTTTGCTTAATGATTAATTGTTTCCTCATTGACGACGTTGTATCTGGTAAATGTGTATTAAACCACTAACAGCGTAGTATTTTTTTTTTACTGCAAAACTAACAACACTAATATTTTCTATCTCAGATACTCCTTTTTAACAGAATTGTTGACTTGCCTGACAAATTATTATACATTGTTTTTACTTAACAACATCTGTATTTATTACAAAAATACAAATTCGTACTAGTAAAAGTTTTACAAATATTACAGAATAAATTTTTAAATATTTTGAATTGTAAAACCTTCAATAGTGGTGGTTGCGTCAAAACACTCGGCCATGTTGTTTAGGAACATAACGAAGGTTAATAAACGAGTAAAAAAAAATGTAAGAATGCTGTATATTTAAAACTTATTTTATTGTTTGTTCGTTCGTTGTTAAGCACAAAGATACAAAATGGGATATCTGTGCTGTGCCTATCACGGGTATCAAGCCCCCCGATTGGACAGCGGAAAGTCTTCGGATTTACAACGCTAAAATTGGGGGTTCGATTCCCCTCGGTGGACACAGCAGATAGCCGGATGTGGCTTTCCTATAAGAAAACACGCACACGTGTATCGAAACCCTGTTTTAACGTTATAAGCTGAGAGATTTACCGATGAGCCACTGAAGGGGAGGGGGGAGTATTCAGCGAGCTGATTGGCTGATTTTTTAAACACAGACAAGTCCTACGTAATTACTACAACATCACTTGTTATGAGTAATTCTCTTCTTTTTAAAATTTCTGACAGTTTCAGTTCCAGTCTAGCCTCTTACACCAAGAATCAAAACTAAAGAAAAGTTTGTATAATCGTAATATCCAAATTTTGGTACCCTTTACGTATTTGAGAAGAAAACTTCGTTAATTCCCCCATAGCTGTCTGGTAGCAAAATCACTTGGAACACTATCATGAAACTGTTTGTGTATTTAGAGATAGAACCCTTGTGTAATGTATTATAACTTCATCAGTTTTACTTACGAATACCAAAGTCGTCATTTTTTTAAAAATAATTTTTATTTTCTTGACTTGGACAAAGTACTAACTATCATATCTGAACAAATTAAAATATTTAATCAGCTACTACACCTGCCATCTATCGGAAACTTTTTACACTATAGGAATATTTTCCATTGAAATTTCCAATTTCATTATTTAACTGTATAATAATTGATTCGACAATATTTCAAACCTTATTTTAGCTAGTGTGAAGATTCTCATTAGAAGGTGACAAGTCAAGTCTTCCGGTGGTCCCAATGTTAGCAGTACCTGTCACTAGTGGGCAGATAATTTAAAAAATAAAGTTGTTGTTTTCCTGTTATTCATTAAATTAAAATATTAGTAGCTTAAATGTTAGTTCAAGAAACTGAACAAAGGGCTAATGAGAGGATTTGATTGTTTTCATGGTTAATACCTTACTATACTTTTCAGACAATCAATGTTAGATGATGAAAGGAGGCTGTTTGTACAAACTGTGACTGAAGTAAAACTAATTGAAGCCAAATAAGCAAAAAATTGAAATTGACCTTTTTATATTACTACGTTATACAACAATTATAAACTCAAAAGGTTTTAATAGAGTGTATATTTCAATCTATTAAGATAGTTAACTTTAATAATACTGTGTGTATTTTTTTGCTCTGTTTTTATACCTTTTTTTTATTAATTAAAAACTGAAATATATTTGTTGCAATAGTTCTTAATCGTTTTATATTTCAAGTTTGAAACTACCGCGTTTCTATCTGTCATTAAAGTACGTGATAAAAACTTTTAAGTTTCTTAGACATTTTATATTCGAAGAAGAAATACACACTACACTTTGTTTTATTAATTCTGAGTAAAAAAAACAATATTTTTTATTGGATATTTTTAGATTAATTTAATAAAATCTCTTAAAAACATTATTAACTTAGTTTCAAAATGTTTAAAATGTATATATAATACTACTTTAATGGCTAAAGATGATTTTGATTTATAAAAATATAGATATTTGTGTAAAAGTAACATGTTTCAATATTGAAATGTCAATTAAAAATGTATTTCATGTGGTATCAGGTGAATAATGCTACGGCAAGAACACAAACCAAGAAAACCCCAACTATCCCAAACAGTAAGTACGTGATCTCTCCTAATAACACTTTTTACAGTTACTTAGTAGAAATACGGTCATATGAAATATTACTTAGTAGAAATACGGTCACATGAAATATTACTTAGTAGAAATACGGTCACATGAAATATTACTTAGTAGAAATACGGTCACATGAAATATTACTTAGTAGAAATATGTGATCCTGTTAAGGGGTGAAAAACTGTTTTTTCATTGAACAACTTTCTTAGAATCAGAGAGATTTGGTGTGCTGTAGTCAGAGAAATGTTTACTATCCTGTTGAATATTCTACCCCACCAGTAACAGATCAATTTATGTAACAGTGTAACTAAATGAATATAGCAGTTTAACCTTGAGTAACAAAAACTTGTAACGATTAGAATATGTTGGTTCGTCTGTTGGTTACCTTTACTGTTATGAACAGTCATAATCCCAGTAATATCTCATGAAACTTGGCCAGCTTAGCTTAATCCTTAATCCATATACTAAGCTAACAATACAGAACAGTCCTGTTAAATTAAAAATATAAAAAATACATATTGAACTAAGTTTACAGCCTATGGATTATGACTGTACTTACAAGACGTGTGGAAAACAACTACTTAGCTTGATGTAACACATTTATTGTCTTTTATTTTTCAGTTGAAACAGAACTTAATTCTGTCATAACTTATCCTATTTAAACTGATAAGGGAGTCATTTAAAAATCACATAAGGATATGGGGTGGGAGGGTGTCTAAGTCTGTGTTATAATGAGTTAAACTTAGTGGGTTAGGGGGGTGTCATGAACAGAATTACATAATATAATTTACAGTACAAGTATTTGACGTTTACAGAAGAACTCGTACTACAATTTAGCATTCTTCAGTTTGAATTAATATTAATATTACTTCCTTGGCAAGTGAGCAGAAAATATGCTTTTATCATTATCCGCTAGGTGGCAGTAGCTTGCACTGAAGGACGCCACCAATGAATTCATAAGTTACCATATTGGTTAATATACTTTTAAAGATACTTACACTCAAAAGGTCTGGGTTAAGTGAGAGGGAGGCTGACCAGGTGATGTTTTGCAACCTCTGTTAAATGGGGTGTGTGGGAGGGATGTTGAAAAGGGAGAAAAATTATGATATATAATTTTTAATGACCCCTAAAAATATTTTTAATAGTTTTGGTGTAGCTTTAGTGGATGAGACAGCCTAGATGGACCAATAGGTTCCTCATTGTCCCAAAATATCATGTTATATACAGGTCACTGGTTAGGCCACATTTGGAGTATTGTGTTCACTCTTGGGCTTCCTACCTTAAGAAGGATATTGAATTGTTGGATAGGATTCAGAAGAGGGTTACTAGAATGGTGCCTGATTTAGGTGTTTATGGTTGTAAAGGGAATTGATAATGTTGATGCATCATCTTTATTCATATTTAATGGTAAGACTAGGGGACAGAAAGATACATTTTGACAGGGTAGGAGTCATCTTCAGTTAAGACAGTTTTATTTTTCTAACAGACTTGGAGTGGAATGGGTTGGTTACCTTCGTATGTGGTGAAGACAGAAAATTTAAGTGAGTTTAAGAGATAGCTCGATAACTGTATGAACGATAAGGACTGGCTTTGAGAGTTTTTGTAATAATTTTAATTTAGTGAATGGGACAATCTAGATGAACCAAGAGGTCCCTTGTTGTCCCTAAATATTATGTTTTGTACATGTATATAATACATATATATTTCGCAAAAATGATGCTATTTTTGAACACAAGATGATGATGTTACTAAGCCTTAATTAGCATCTGATCAGAAGTTTAATTTCTTACTTCGATCACAATTCAAGTTGAATTATTTCAATGTTTACTGTGAAAACAAAGACTGTTAGACCTTAAACGGTGTTTAATGAGAAGTTTTCTTCGTCTAAACGAAGTAGATAAAATTTATGATGATACTTAATAAACGATGTCGCTTCAAAATGATTTCTGGAAATATGATCTTTTTTTTCTTATGATTTTAGTTGCAGCTCTGCGGGGAGTAGCGATTCAAAGAGGCCGAGCAAGGGGGGCTTTTGCCCACCTATCGTCACCACTTAGTGCAGCAGCGGCAGCTACTGCCCTACACGGTTATACTCCGTAAGCATGAGAATTCACACCGATATCATAGAATTTTTCGTAGTTAACTTTCTTCTACATTAAGGTGTTGGACGTAAAACTAAGTATGTTCATTTTTGTTATTTGTACACGTTTTGGTGACACATAAGTGCACTGTCTTTCTAGGTAACAGTTTTATTTTCATCATACAATTATATCATTTTACTTGCTTCACTGGCTCGTGCTTCAGATTCCAGCTGGATTGACATTTTATAAACTCATAAAATTTCTTTGGAGATTTTTTATTGTATCTATAAATCATCAGCCTCAACTTTCTAAGCCCATACACAGCTTGGTTTGTCCAGTATCTAACATTAAGAGTTTGTGGTATTATAAATTGAATTATGGTGCTATAAGACGACAGTTTACTTAAGTGTAGCATGAGCTAATAAGATTAAAATGTCTTCACTATCTGAAATTAACTGGTATGAATTTAAATAATGAGACTCTTAGGTGTTATCAATTAGCCAGAGACTTCAGGTAAAGTGACAAGCTTAGATACTGACATAACGTTTTTTATAACAACTTACTGTTTATATAAATGTAATTTTTAGGTTAACTTCCGTTTGGAGTGAGAGAAATTGTTGATACTTATGTCAGGTAAATTGTAAGAGAAAACTAAAATATATATCAGATGGTTGTACAATTTACCTGACATAAGTATAGAGAAAACTAAAATATATATCAGATGGTTGTACAATTTAACTGACATAAGTATAGAGAAAACTAAAACATATATATCAGATGGTTGCACAATTTAACTGACATAAGTATAGAGAAAACTAAAATATATATCAGATGGTTGTACAATTTACCTGACATAAGTATAGAGAAAACTAAAATATATATCAGATGGTTGTACAATTTACCTGACATAAGTATAGAGAAAACTAAAATATATATCAAATGGTTGTACAATTTAACTGACATAAGTATAGAGAAAGCTAAAACATATATCAGATGGTTGTACAGTTTAACTGACATAAGTATAGAGAAAACTAAAATATATATCAGATGGTTGTACAGTTTAACTGACATAAGTATAGAGAA